TATTCGTTCTTCAAATTTTTTTCTTGGCTTGTGGTAACCTGTATAGGAGCCTGAGTGGCTCAAGGGGTTTGCAGTTGGCTATTAACCTAAAGATTGCTGGTTCAGACCCACCCAGCAGATCCTAGAGGAAAGGCCTGGTAAAGTGCTTTCATGAAGATTCCAGAAAAAAACAAAACAAACCCACTGCTGTCGAGTCGATTCCAACTTGTAGCGACCCTATAGGACAGAGTAGAACTGCCCTATAGGGTTTCCAAGGCTGTGAATCTTTACGGAAGCAGACTGCCACATCTTTCTTCTGGGGAGATGCTGGTAGGTTTGAACTGCCAAGCTTTTGGTTAGCAGCTGAGTACTTAACCACTGCACCACCAGGGCTCCTTCTGTAAAGATTAAAGCCAAGAAAACCCTATGGAGTAGTTCTGTTCTGTAACATATGGGGTTGCCATGAGTCAGAATCAACTCTATGACAACAGGTTGGATTATTAACCTGTATATTGGTTTTTATTTTATTTTTATCATAATATGACTCACATATTACTGTTTTGCATTTTGCTTTATGTAATAACGTATCTGAGAGATGTTTTCATATTAATACATGTAGGTCTATCTCATTCTTTTTAATAGCCATATAAATATTTTATTGTATTGATACATATTTTTTTAATCCGTATTGAACATGGAAGTTACTTTCAGTTTTTTGCTATGACAAACTGCACTTCTTTCTAAGTACATCTCTATACTGTTGTCTATTTCTGTTGAATAAATTTTTTTGGAATAAATTCCTAGAAGTAGAATTGCTATGTCAAAGTATGTGAGTCTTTTAATTTTAATTATATATTGCCAAACTCTATTCTTAAAAAGTTGTATCTATTTACCCTTGTGCAAACCATGTGTGGTACTGTCCTAAATCAGCGCTCTGTCTTTCTCTGCCTATCCCAGCTAGAAAATCGACTAGAGGAGTGGTTGGGGAAGACACTGGCTGGCAGTAACTGGACGCCCAATGCCCGGTTCATCATTCGTTCTTGGCTTCGGGATGGACTCAAGCCACGCTGTATAACACGGGATCTCAAATGGGGTACCCCTGTGCCCTTAGAAGGTTTTGAGGACAAGGTAAAAACCCTCTAACCTTTATTCATATCCCAAATCATTCAGCCTTGGGGTTGAGACTCTGGGCTAGCAGGGTCTGTTCATTAGATCTTGTTTCAGCCTGAGACTGGGTTGGTGAGTTTTTTTGTGTTTCTTCATCCTACTGTCTTTCCCTCCTTCTGATCTTCCAAGGTATTCTATGTCTGGTTTGATGCCACTATTGGCTACCTGTCTATCACAGCCAACTACACAGACCAGTGGGAGAGATGGTGGAAGAACCCAGAGCAAGTGAGCAATTCTTGGTTAGCCTATGAGGAGGGTATGTGTGCGGAGTGGGGATACTGGGGATTAGGGTTGGTTATCTGGTCTTTCTTGAGCCTTTGAAGATGATCTCAGGAGATCTCTCTCCCTGTGTCCCTATTCCTTTAGGTGGACCTATATCAGTTCATGGCCAAAGACAATGTTCCCTTCCACGGCTTAGTCTTCCCTTGTACAGCCCTAGGAACTGAGGACAGCTACACCTTGGTCAGCCACCTAATTGCTACAGGTACCGTGCAGGACTGGAGATGGGGATATTTCTAGGGATGAGGTCTGAGGCAGTCCTGGAAGGAGATCCTGGAGGGGTACTAGGACTGGAGTTGGGAGTTGAGATGAAATAGGAAATAATTAGAACATGAGAATTCAATCCAGAAAAAAAGAAACAGGAAACTGAAGAAAGCAGAAGTGTAAAACTTTGTAATGTAATGGGTACAAGCAAAGGGTAAAAGGCTGGAATGGAGAGGAAGGGACACGGAGTCCTGTACAGGCCAGCCTCTCAAGGAGAAATCGTGCCCATAGTTGGTGGAGGTTGAGGGAGAGGAAAGGAGTTAGTGGATCAGAAAGGGGAAGGATGTGACTGGAGCAGATGATCTCATTCTTCCCTATTCAGAGTACCTGAACTACGAGGATGGGAAATTCTCTAAGAGCCGGGGTGTGGGAGTGTTTGGAGACATGGCCCAAGACACAGGGATCCCTGCTGACATCTGGCGCTTCTATCTGCTGTACATTCGGCCTGAAGGCCAGGACAGTGCCTTCTCCTGGACAGATATGCTACTGAAGAATAATTCCGAGCTGCTGAACAACCTTGGCAACTTTATCAACAGGTGGGACTTGGTGAGGGGTCAGAGTCAGCAGATGAGCTGTAATGGTACCTACTCTGCTCCTGGGGGTGAGGATGCAGAGAGCTAGTAGGTGTGCAGGAGGGCATGAGGGATGGGGAAGACCATGTGGAGAGTTGATTTCTAGCACATAGCCACAGAGTTCACCTGTAGACTTCTGAAGAGTCCTAGCAACAAAATTCACATGAAGAGTTTAGCTGAAGAAAGGTGTTATCTTGATGTAGGAGTAGGAGGCTTCTGCATTCTCCAGAGTTTTTGTTACTTTGGGCTCACATTCCACTATTGGTCCCTATCTCAGCTATCCTGCAGTCTAAAGAAATATCCTCTATAGTTTAGAATTCTTCATACCTCACTTCAGTCCCTCCCTCCTAGGCCTTTAGCTCAGTCCCGCCATTTACCCTTTCAGGCTTGGTCGTTAACCACACTTAGATAGTCCTTACTGTATTCATTTGATAGCAAGGGAACACATAATGTATTTTACCTTGATTGTTCCAAGTATTGAATTAAAAATAAAATGAACAGTTGCTTAACTTTATCAAGTCTTTAAGTAAAAGGGATGGCTTTATGTAAAGTGTCTGTTATATGTAGAGTCATATTCTTAGGGGAAAAATAAAGAGTTAATTTGTTAAGCTTTACCTTCCAGCCTGAGGGAGCCAGGAGGTGTCAGTTCTGGGCAGGGATCCTGAGAAAATGTAGAATGGTGGAAATTGGGTCAAATTTGTCTAAGGAGAATGGGCAGTAACTGTCCTTATTTTCTCCCCCACCATCAAGAGCTGCGATGTTTGTGTCTAAGTTTTTTGGGGGCTGTGTGCCAGAGATGGTGCTTATGCTGGATGATCAGCGCCTTGTGGCCCACGTCACTCTGGAGCTCCAGCACTATCACCAGCTGCTAGAGAAGGTTCGGTAAGTAACCTGGACCTTTCCTCTCTCTCATCTCAATGATCTGCTGGCATGTTGAGAGCCTTATACTAGGACCTTATACCTTGGCCTGCCTCATCCCTTCCCAGGATCCGGGATGCCTTACGCAGTATTCTCACCATATCTCGCCATGGCAACCAGTACATTCAGGTGAATGAGCCCTGGAAGCGGATTAAAGGCAGCGAGGCTGACAGGTACATAAGGGGATAGGGTTGGCTACAGGGATCAAGTGGCAAGTAGGCTGTGTCCTCCTGGACGTCCTGACTGGTATCCCTTCTTCCCCAGGCAGCGGGCAGGCACAGTGACAGGCTTGGCAGTGAATATAGCTGCCTTGCTGTCTGTCATGCTCCAGCCTTACATGCCAACAGTTAGTGCCACCATCCAGGACCAGCTGCAGCTCCCACCTCCAGCCTGCAGTATCCTGCCCAAAAATTTCCTGTGTACCTTACCAGCAGGACACCAGATTGGCACAGTAGGTCCCTGGGAATTGGAAGAGCCAGCCTCTCCTAAAATTCCTACCTTTGGGGTGGGGTCAGAGAAGACCTAACATCTCTCTATAGTTTTGGGACTCACACTATTCTCTGAACTCTCTCTACTCCCCTCAACTCTGCACTTAGGCTTGTGTCAGATCTAAAATCCAGAGTTATCTGTAGCTCGTATAGCCTCATTGTTTATCATGCCTAAACCTAGTACCTGGCACATAAAACCAAGTGGTATACAGTAGATGTCTGAACAAACACCATGGTCACTTGGTCTCCATGATGCTAACAGGCAGCAGGTAGGGAGAGCATAGGGTAGCTCTTTCCTCTTTGCCACAAGATGATGATAAAGTACATCCCTACACTATCTTTGACTCTATTAATACTTTTGGCTTTCGTAACAAATGCCAGTGTGTTTCTGAATTCTTGGCTGAAGTCAACAGCTCTTTGCTCATTGTGTCTGTATTTTATTGTGCGTTAGGTGAAAGTTTACAGCTCAAGTCAATTACTCATACAAAAATCTGTACACTATTTGCTCAATATTATGCCCACGTTTCTTCTAACCCTATTTAGGGTTCCTAAACATCAAGAGATTGGGGTTGGGGAGACCCCCTTTATAGCCTTGTAAAGCTTATACCAAATCAGTGAATGACCAGGCATTCTTTTTTCTCTGCATAGGTCAGTCCTTTGTTCCAAAAATTGGAAAATGACCAGATTGAAAGTTTGAGGCAGCGCTTCGGAGGGGGCCAGGTGAGAAAACTGAAGACCATACTCTTCCTCACCCAGCAGCAGCCACAGTGTCATCTCCTTAGTGTCTCTAAGTAGTCCTCACTCATCGTGCTTTCCATCTTTTGGCCCTGCTGCTTCCTCACTTAATAGTTTTTCTTTCCTATCTTAGCTAGAAGAGCCCTTGGAATTAAAGGTAATCACTTTCTGAGATGTTGTGTAAAACTGGAGTTTGGGGGATATTTTACGGTAGGGAGAGCTAACTCTTGTACTTCTCCAGGCAAAAACTTCCCCCAAGCCAGCAGTTGTAGAGACTGTTACAGCAGCTGGGCCACAGCAGATACAGATGCTGATGGATGAAGTGACAAAACAGGTAGGAAGAATAGTAAGCCCTGTGGGAGATTGGAAAAAACTGTGTCCTAAGTCAGTCCTTTCCTGATCTCACTGTTGTTATTCCTCCCAATCCCCTTCTCTTAGGGCAACATTGTCCGAGAACTGAAAGCACAAAACGCAGACAACCACCAGGTGGCTGCAGAGGTGGCTAAACTTTTGGAGCTAAAGAAGCAGTTGGCTCTAGCTGAGGGGAAACCCCTTGATCCCCCTAAAGGCAAGAAGAAAAAATGAAAAAGAATACGGGTCACAGAAAGTCCCTTTAATGGATACGGACCGTAATAAATAAATATACAATCTCTATATACAAAGCTGAGACCCTTTCCTTTTGTCTACCCCAAACCTTCCCCCTTACTGAATATGAGGGGTTGAGGGTCACATTGGCACTGGTGAGAGGTGGTCAGTAGCCACTTTTGGGAAAGGCAGGTAACGGCCTGTGGGGGAAGTGATGGTCCCAATTGTTCATGCTTGGTGTAGGTTAACCATTCGGTCAATCAGAGCTCGGCGAGTCGCCTCTACTTCCCTGGTCAGGCGCTCAATTTCCTGCTTCAGCCGTTCGTTCTCTTCTGCTAGCTGTGCCACTTTCCTCTCGTTCTCCTGTTCTTTCTCCTTCAGGCGTTGCTTCCCAGCCCGAGCCTGGGACTGGCCACTCTGTTTCCGCTTCCTTGGTCTTCTTTGGTCTTCCTCTTCTTCCTCCTGAGCCAGGGAGCTCCGACTGGAATCTGGAGACTGAGGGCTCTGGGAGCTGCTTGTAACCTCTGCTGGTCCTGGCTCCTCAGTCAGCCAAGCCAGACAGGCAGGGTCAAGAGTGGTGAAAGTTTTTGATTCTTCCTTCAAGGAAATGAGGAAAGGTGGAGTCGATGTTAGTTAAGAAGAACAACATCCCTCCCTAGCTTTAGGCCTAGCATTCTTACCTTCTCGTTTGCCGGGGGTGAGACATGCGTGCCCCCACTTTCATCTGAGGACAGGACCTCCTGTAGGTCCTCATACCAAGCTTCTAGCTCCCAGCTGGACAGTGTCCCAAAGGAGAAAGACAATGACTCAGCTTCCATCTCTGCTGTTGGGTCAGGCTCTGGAAAAGTACATATTTAGGACAGTGGGGGTGGGGAGAACAATCTCCACAAAGTAGTCAAAACAGTCTATACCAGAGGTTAGCAAACTGTGGCCTCCTGCCTGTTCTGTAAATATTACAGGAACACAACCACATTCATTTACACATTGTTTATGATTGCTTTTGTGCTGTAACTGCAGAGATGAATAGTTGTGACAGAAACTTCATGACTGAAATTATTTACTATCTGGCTCTTGAAAATTTGCCAAGCGCTGGTATATACTAATATTCCCTCCCTGCTTTCGCCCAGCACTGGAAGAAACAAAATGCCTGGATATATGTTCTTATGGGATCCTAGTAAAAGTTCTCAGCTTCCCTGGGAACCCCCCATTGGTAGTTTCCAGGGGCAGTTACCAGACCACTTGTGCTCCTTCAGTGTGGTCAACTTGGGCAGACAGTCCTTTGGGCCAGTCTAATCTTGAAGGGAACTGAGGTTTGTCTTTGTTGGGGCTGACTGCTCACTCAGCCAGCTTTCAACGAGGACAGCTCTAAGAATACTGATTTTGTCACTTTGTGAGGGGCAGGCCAGGATGAACATGGCCTGACAGCAAAAGTTTGCTCAAATTCAAACCCTTTCCCCCCACCTTTTCTTTTCATAACTTCTTAGGCAAAGCAAGACTAAGCAGCATCTCTTACGACTTCGTCTTGGAAAGAGTTCATTAAGTTTACCTGTTTTCAGGTGTGGTGATGTATGAAGATACACTTCCTTCTGGAACACTGTGGGGGAACAAGGATAAATGTTAGCCATTTTTAGACGGGAGAGGACAGGTTGCTTTACTTTCATCTCCCACCTCCTATTCCTTCCTTACTTCCTTTCTTGGAGAGTATGGGAGCAGTTCTGGATAGTTAACAGTCTCTGCAGCCATTTCCAAGAACAAAGAAGAGCCCAACTTCTTTTATTTTTAGTTGCTGATATTTGTAATCCTGATTACAGAATTACAAAGCCCTGGCCAACTCAGCTTTCTCTAAATTCAAGGAGGCCTAAAACTTGCCAGGGTAAGGACTGGACCACAGGGAAGGGAACATGTCAAGTGGCATTTTCTTAGCTCCATTCCCACACTGACATCCTCCAAATGTACACTTCCAGTCTGGACCTCTCCTGGAACCTCCAACTCAGCTATCTAACTGCCTACTTGCCATCTCCTTTTGGATGTCTAACAGGCATAGCAGACTTAATATGTTCAAAGCCAAACTCCTGGTTATCTTCCTCTTTGAAGATCTTCCTCATGTCAGTAAATGACAGTCCCAGTTGCTTAAACCAAACACTGGTATCGTCCATGACTCCTCTCAAACCCCATAATCCAATCCAAACCATCAGCAAAATTTCTTAACCTTCAAAAAAATCCAGAATCTGAACACTTCTCACCATTTCCATTGTTTCCAATCTAGATGAAGTTACCATCATCTTTCCCCTGGATTACTGCAGAAGGTTTCCCAATTTCTGCTCTTGCCACCTCTTCCCAAGCCTATTCAACAATACAGCTGCCAGAGTGAGCCTTTTAAAACTTAAGCCAGGCTCTGTCAAACTCACCAATGACTTCCTATTTCATTCATACTAAAGGCTAAAATCTTTAAAATGGCTTACAAGGCCCTACATAATCTGCTCCTCCTGACTGTAATTTTTCTCCTCATCTACTTCTCTCCCTCTTGCTCACTCTAATCCATCCAACTGGCTTTCTTTTGTTCCCTAAAGACACCAGGTATGTTCCCACCTTAGGGCCTCTATCCTTGCTCTTCCTTCTGGAAACTCTTCCTCCCAGATAATTTGCATAGCTCCTTGCCTCACCTCCTTTAGGTCTTTCACCTTAGTGCGGTAATCCCTGACCACCCTAAGTAAAACTGTAACTCCCACCCTGAGCATTCTCTATTCCCTTCCCTCCTTTAGTTTTTCCATGGCACTTCAGTTAACTGTGTGCCTCCCACTAAAATGTTAAGCTCTATAAGAGCAGAGATATTTTTTTTCCTTCTCTTTTTCACTGATGTGCCCTGGGCTCGAAACTGTGCCTGGCACATGGTAGGTACTTTTTAGTATTTGTCAAAAACGAATAGGTAAATTCCCTCCAATCTCTATGATAAGACACCAGTTGCCATCCAGTGGATTCTGACTCATGGTGACCCTGTACGGTTGGGCTTTCAATGGTTGATTTTTCAGGTCATCAGGCCTTTCTTCTGTGGCACCCTCAGGGTGAACTGGAACCTCCAACCTTTAGGTTAGCAGACGAGCATGTTAACCGTCTGTACCACCCAGAGACTCCTTCTCTCTTACAGGCAATGGAAGACTAAGCCCAAAAGAAGAGCCTTCGTTGCCTATCCCTGAGGACTGGAGATGCAATATCACCCTGATCGTTTCTCTGTAGGGCTGTCCTCCCTGGGGAACCCTCCTTTGCCTTCCAGTGCGTGGGACGTGACTGTGACTTTCATCAGCAGTGGAGCGCTAGGCCAGAGAGCTGCAGTGCCCAACAGGGGGCTGGCCTGATGCAATGGTTACAAAGAGATTGGTTGGGGGTGGGGGGAGGCAGGGGCCAATCCCAGGGAAAGAACAATACATTGGGGAGACCCCAAACTGTTTCCCACACTTATGAGATCCAGGCTGCTCTCTTCTACAGGAAGCCCAGGGTCCTCTGGAGGGAAGGGAAAACCCATCTCCTCTCCCTGTCTATCTGCACTCCTTCTGCCAGAGGCTTGTGTCAAGTTTCCTTAAAGTTCTCCTTAAGGTGGCGGCTCCAGGAGTCCCAGACACCGATGGAGCCGTAGCCCAGCTGGCCCCAAGATGCAGCTGGGACGGGACTGGGGGTGGGGTTGGGCCGCTGGTGGCGAAACAGCAGCGGTGGTGGCGGCGGCAGGAGCCATGGTCGCCCAGGCTTCTCGGCGCGGGGGTGTGTACAGTTGCCCCGCCTCCCACTGGCAGGCCTTACTAAGAGGCCTAGGATCAGCAACCGGAAATAATGAGTCTCCCGAGGGCCGCCAGTGCCCCTTCGCCCAACGGCACAGAACAAGGCCCGTGATCCAGACAGGAGTAGGGTGACGTCGTTCGAAGGAAGAGAGGTCTGTAAGCACCCTACAAAATAAAGGATTCTTTGCATTCCTCCTGCGGAGGTCACTAACTTCACGGTGGAGGGGGTGGGGCCACATCCTAAAGAGCGGATGCTCCAACTTTGAGAGGACAACTCCTCGAGGATAGGAGGGTAAAGGGTAGGTGGGGAGGCAGTACTCACCTTTCTTCTCAGATTCCGGCTCTGATTTTGGCTCTGTCGCTGCCACCCGTTCATCTTCAACATTATCTGCTCCGAGCCTCAAACTCAAACCTCTAACCTCGGCAGGGAGCCGAGCCGGGATCTTTTAACGTGGCCTTGCCCTCCTCTCAGGGGCGGGATCCAAAAGCCTACCAATCAGAAAACGGCACGCCGGCGTTGGCCCCGCCTCACTCCCTACATCCGCCATTCAGGAGACCCCCGCGGAACCGCCCCCTTCGCTCCCTCCCTCTTGGGGGTCGACGTAGTGTTGGACCCGGAAGTGGCATAGGGTCACGAGACTTCGTGGAGGCGGTGGGTGAGTCATGCGCGCGCGCGGAGAGGAGTGCTGGAGGGGGGAGGGGAGGGAAGGGGGCGGGGATGATGCAATGTTTGGCAAACGGGGTCTGTGCGCGCAAGCGCAGGGAACAACGAGGGTGGTGGGTGGTGGGTGGTGCGTGAGGTGGGGAGTGGAGAGGGGAGAGGAGAGGGCGGGGCGCCAGCTCCTGGAACCCAACGGCCCCAACGGCTATCAACAGGGGCTGCCCATCGGTGCCCGTGGACTGTTCTGCGTGTGTGAAGCCTCACTGTAGCTTGTCTCTCTCACGCGCTGTTGTTCAGCCGACCTAGCTTTAGCGCCCGTTTTACTTCTTCCGTAAGGGATCTTCATTTTCCTTGGGCCTCTCCCAGCTAATGGGCACGTTAGGCCTTTTGAACTTCCCTCCTTTGAAAGTCTTCATCCACTTAGTAGGATTTTCTTAAAGGGATCTCCTCTTTTAGCCCTCGAACTCCCCCCAAAAGGGGTGGTATACTTGAATCTCTTTGGTAGTCATTTTCAGCTTCTCTCAGGAGAGCACCCTTGACTTTGTAGTTTCTGATGAACCCTCAACATGCCAGAATTCGTGTTCTTTGCCCAGTGCACCCGATTCTCAGTGGTTTTCCCACATATCTTCCCCCAAGACGCTCTTGTGCCCGTCACCAAAGACCAAGACCTGCCCTTTTCACAATGCAGAACAGCAAGTCCTGTGATCTCCACTGCTGTTAGGAGCAGGACACAGGCTCCTGCCCCGATAGTGTTTGGAGTTGTGACCTACAGTAGAGCTTTGGGACATGCGAGTGTACTTGAGCGCATGACTGCCCTGGACTGGGATGTCAGGAGCCCAGATTCCAGCCTCAGCTGCCTCTCACTTGTCCAGGGATCTTAGACCAGCCAGCTAATCTCTCTGTGCATTACTGTTCTTGTTTGTAAACTAAAGATAATGAGTTGTGAAGGTAAAGTGAGAGAACTATGAACTTGGAGGTGGTTTGAACAAAAGTAAAAAGCACCACGCAAAATGCAAGGTATTTTTCTTGTGCCATTAAATAGAAAACAGAGGCCGTGTGGTGGCCTGTTACATATCCTGTCATACCCTCATGGGGGCAGCCAGAGTTTGTCTAATTAGAAACTGTCACAAGGCAGGCTGTGACTGGATGGCAGGCCTAGGTGGTGGTGTGGCAGTGACAGGTTCTTGGCCAAGCCGCTCTGTCTCTCCAGATGTCCATTTCCCCTTCTGTAAATAGGGGTGGGCATGGGCTGGACCAGATGGTCTCTCCTGGCCCAAAGACAGACCAGGTTGTCAGTGACAGGCAGAGGTCATGTGACTTGACAGGCCGAGGTTGTGTTGTGACATGTTGACCTGGGGAGGCGGGTCAAGTCCCAGCACACTACCCGGGAAGCCTTTGGGGCGGGACAGGGCAAGTCGCGACTTTCATCTTTTGGGGCTGGCCCCTCCCGGACCTGGCATTCTAGGCTCCTCAGCAGATTGTGGTTTTGGAAGGGGCCCGTCCCCGGGGAGGGCGGGGATTGGCCCACCGGTGGCCTGGGAAGAGGCGCAGATCCTTCCGCGGAGCATGGGGGAAGGGGGGCCGCGTGGGGTGTTTGTTCTCTTGGGGATTAATGGGGGGGTTGTGGGGGAGGGGTAGGCGCGCTCCCGCATGCGCACTGCCGCCCCTCCTGTTGGCTCGTCGCTGTCCACTGGGCGGGGGCCCGACCCCGCCCCTCTCCCGTCGGGGCAGCGGCGGCGGCGGCGGCGGCGGCGGCGGTAGCGGCGACGGAGGCGGCAGCAGCTTGCGCAGTGCCTTCTGGGAACGGAATCCCCAGGGCTGCCCCTGGCCCCCATGGCGCATGCGCGGGAGGCCGCTCGGTGATCCGCGGCGGCAGCGGCGGCGGCGGCGCTTCCTGCTAGGACCGGCCGGGGCCATACCGGAGGCTCGGGCTCCACCGACCCTCCTCCCACCCCTTCCCACTCACCCTCTGGGCCGCAACTGCGCAGGGCGGGGCCGGCCGAACCATGGGCCGCGGTGAGTGCGGGGCCCGGCCCCCCCTGCCCCTCCCCCTACTCTCCCCTCCAGTCCCTACCCTCTGCCCCCTCCGCGTCCTTTCGGCCCCTTTACCCGGCCTCATCCTCACTCCCCCGCCCTCACCTGCCCCCGCCGTTTCTTCTTTCACTGCCTGACTTCTGCCTTCTTCACCTCCCTCCCCTCAGTGCTTCGCCCACCCTCCGCCCGTCCTCTCCCCAAGTTCCTTCCTACTTCGTGCGTCTTCCCCTCCTCCCCAAGCTAAGGGAAGCAGGCTGGGGTGACAGGGCGCCTTGTTATGAGAGGGAAAGTTTGGAAGCCGCCAATGTCGTGTGGGAGCGACGGTGAGGTTGGGGGGGATCTTTGCACTTTTAAGGGGTGCCCCCGCATATCAGAGGAGAGTCCTTCTTGCAGCTAATTTGAAGCCAGTGGGAGAGGAGATTCTGAATTCCCTTGCCTTAGATTTTCGGGAAAATCAGAAGCTTCTCAGGATCCTGGGAGAACACCCAAATGAACTAGATCAATGATTGTCTAATGGAGCAGGCATGGGGGGAGTTCTACTGGTACCACTCTAGGGGGCAGTTGGGCAATTGCCTGGTGACCTGCCGGGCGATCTGTACTTTTATATGGTCTTCCTGGGGGAGGGAACGGCAGGGTCCAGACACTCTGGGAAACTTCCTAGTAACCTGGTCTTATGAGAACTTGCCCACACTCCAGGTCGAGGTCTTCTGACCCTGATAGGACAAAGGGGCCTTGCTCTTTGTAATTGCTTGGTTCCTGGGAGTTGGGGGTCTGGCCCTCCTGTTCCTAGGGACTGGGCTTGGAAAGGATGGTTATGGACTCAGCCAGCAGATCCTCTCGCATTATTAAGGATTTTTCTTCTTTTGAGAAAGCACTGGACTATGGTGCTCTGCTGCACTGGGCAGATTCCTGACAGTCCCTTCTTGTGTTGCAGGTGTGGGCTAAGCAGGTGGCCCCGGCTTTAGACTGGACCCCACAATGTTTGCAGAGATGTTCAGGTAGCCATGGTGGTGTGACAGAGGGTTTCCCCTTATTCTCCCTGTCAGCTCTTTGAGGGTTTCCTCTTGCCACTCTGGCTCTTCCCCTGAGTTCTCTTGGGTCTCCCGACAACCTCTGTCTTCTTGGAGTACTCCCTCAGGTACCCAGCCCAGCTCAGTCCTCTTGGTGCCCACATGGATGTCTGTGTTATCAGGCACGTGGGAGCTGATTACACACAATGAATGGGGGCAATGAGAGCAGTGGAGCAGACAGAGCTGGGGGCCCTGTGGCCACATCTGTCCCCATTGGCTGGCAGCGCTGTGTTCGAGAGGGTGCTGTGCTCTATATCAGGTATGGATCTTCAGAGTTCCTCAAGTTCCATCACCCCAGACAGAGCCGAGATCTCTGCTACCCTATTGCTCTCCTCTGTTCTTCCTTTCTCAGCCTTTTTGCTCTCTGCATTTCTGGCCTTTTGAATCACTTCTCTGTGTTTCTGTCTCTTCTCACATCCACTTACCCTTGCCTTTCCTAGGAAGGTCTTTGACTTGACTTACAAACTGTCTTTTAGGAGTGTTCTCTGATTCAATGTCAGTTACATTTATATTCTCTGACCCCATACTCTTTCAGCCCAAGTGGCACAGAGCTGTCTTCTTTGGAGCAAACCCGGAGCTACCTCCTTAGTGATGGGACCTGCAAGTGCGGTCTGGAGTGTCCACTCAATGTCCCCAAGGTCAGCCTGCTGAGGGGTGCCAGAGAATACGGGGATAGGCCTAGAGACTTAATACAAATCACTGACCTCGGTAGCCCTTCTTACAGACTCCCCTCAGGGCCCTTGACCATGCATTCTACCTCATAGGTTTTCAACTTTGATCCTTTGGCCCCGGTGACCCCGGGTGGGGCTGGGGTGGGGCCAGCATCAGAGGAGGACATGACCAAGCTGTGCAACCACCGGCGGAAAGCCGTTGCTATGGCAACTCTGTACCGAAGCATGGAGACCACCTGCTCACACTCTTCTCCGGGTGAGTCTTCCTCACTTTACAGGAAGGCTGAGGAGAACCTTAGGGCCTGGAAGAAGGATGGTGGGAGGAGCTCTATGAAAGGCAACCTGGAGAAGGGTGGAGTGAGGCTTGGTGAGAGGAGGGGGCATGGAGGTTAGGAATCTGTGGGAGGTGGGACTGGAAAAAACAAAAGGAAGTTCTGGAAAGGGGAGCCTCAGGCTGATCCTTCATTTCTCATTTATTGCAGGAGAGGGAGCGAGCCCCCAAATGTTCCACACTGTGTCCCCAGGGCCCCCCTCTGCCTGCCCTCCCTGTCGAGTCCCTCCTTTAGCTCCACTTAATGGGGGCCCTGGTTCCCTTCCCCTAGAACCACCCTCAGTTTCCCAGGCCTTCTCCTCTCTAGCAGGCCCTGGGGGGCTCTTCCCACCACCAAGGCTTCCTGACCCAGTTCCCTCTGGGGGCAGCAGCAGTCCCCGTTTCCTCCCGAGGGGCAATGCCCCCTCTCCAGCCCCACCTCCTCCACCTGCTATCAGCCTCAATGCTCCCTCATACAACTGGGGAGCTACCCTCCGATCCAGCCTCGTGCCCCCTGACCTGGGCTCTCCTCCAGCCCCTCATGCCTCCTCATCACCACCTTCAGATCCTCCCTTCCACTGTAGTGATGCCTTAACACCCCCTCCCCTGCCCTATAGCAATAATCTCCCCGGCCCCCCTGGTCCTGCTACTCAACCACCAGTGTCTTCAGCCACTATGCACCTGCCCCTGGTCCTGGGACCCCTGGGAGGGGCCCCAACAGTGGAGGGGCCCGGGGCATCCCCTTTCCTTGCTAGCAGCCTACTCTCTGCGGCGGCCAAGGCACAGCATCCCCCGCTACCCCATCCCAGCACTTTACAGGGCCGACGGCCCCGTGCCCAGGCGCCCTCAGCTTCCCACTCCTCATCACCCCATCCTTCTCAGCGTCGGCCGCGCCGACCCCCAACTGTATTGCGATTACTAGAGGGGGGAGGACCTCAAACCCCTAGACGCAACCGTCCTCGGGCCCCTGCTCCTGCTCCCCAACCCTATCCTCTCGCAGAGCCATCCCAACCGATTCTCCCTTCTGTGCTGTCTCTGCTGGGACTCCCCATCCCTGGCCCTTCCCATTCTGATGGAAGCTTTAACCTTTTGGGGTCAGATGCACACTTTTCTCCACCCCCAACCCTCTCCTCAGGGAGTCCTCCCCAACCCAGGCACCCCATCCAGTCCTCTGTGCCTGGGACCACCAGTGGCAGTCTCAGCAGTGTGCCAGGTATGTGAGTATCACGGAGCTTTCCCTTACTGTGGGTGGAAAGAGGCAGCCAGGGCGTTTAGGGGAGAGTTTACACAATTTTTTGTTGGTTTTCTGGGTTGGGGGCAGGGTGGTTGGGTTCTTTGGACACTGGGAAAAATAGCCTCCCTTGAGCTGAATCTCTCTCTTCCTTTACAGGTGCCCCTGCCCCACCAGCTGCCTCCAAAGCCCCCATAGTCCCCAGCCCTGTGCTTCAAAGTCCATCTGAAGGGCTTGGGATGGGGGTGGGCCCAGCCTGCCCTCTGCCTTCCTTAGCTGGTGGGGAGGCCTTCCCTTTCCCCAGCCCTGAGCAGGGCCTGGCACTGAGTGGAGCTGGCTTCCCAGGGATGCTGGGGGCCTTGCCTCTCCCCCTGAGTCTGGGGCAGCCCCCACCTTCTCCATTGCTCAGCCACAGTTTATTTGGCATGCTGGCTGGGGGAGGGGGACAACCTCCCCCTGAGCCCCTGCTACCCCCACCAGGAGGACCTGGCCCTCCCCTAGCCCCAGGCGAGCCCGAAGGGCCTTCGCTTTTGGTGGCTTCCTTGCTTCCACCACCCCCCTCAGACCTTCTTCCACCGTCTTCAGCACCCCCTAGCAACCTCCTTGCCTCTTTCCTGCCCCTCTTGGCCCTGGGCCCCACAGCTGGGGACGGGGAGGCATCCGCAGAAGGAGCCGGGGGTCCAAGTGGGGAGCCATTTTCAGGTTTGGGAGACCTGCCCCCCCTCCTTTTCCCCCCACTTTCAGCCCCCCCTACCCTCATAGCTTTAAATTCTGCGCTGCTGGCTGCCAGCCTGGATCCCCCCTCGGGGATGCCTCCCCAGGTGAGGATAGAGGGTGAGTGGGTGGGACAGAAGAGGTAGAATCAGAGATGGGAGCTGGGAATCAAAGGTTTTTGGTTTCATGCCTGAGCTCTTCCTCAGGGTCTTTGGGGAGGGCTTAGTTCTTGGCTGGGGGTAGGATGGCTTTAAGAACTGGGTCTGTATTTAATAAGCGTGGCCTACTTCATGTGAGACTTCAGTGAGTTTGTGTACGTGGAGGTACTATAAGTCTATCCCACACTTTACACATGTAAGTGCTACCACCATTCTCTCTCCTTAGCCCTGTGTCCTGAGTGCCCCCCAACCTGGACCACCTACCTCCAGTGTCACCACGGCAACTACTGACCCGGGGGCCTCCTCTGTGGGCAAGGCCCCCTCCAACTCAGGGAGACCCCCCCAACTCCTTAGCCCTCTGCTGAGTGCCAGCCTGCTGGGTGAGTCTGAGGGAAGACTCTTGGTGTGAAAGAGAAGGGAAGCAGTAAAAATTGGGAGTAGAGGCTGAGTGGATTAGGAAAGAAAGTTTGTGGTCACTGGATAAAGGCTAGAGACAATAATAAGGTTTGCTCAGCATAATTAGTTTGCCTGGAGAGACCCCTGACTTTATAATTCAACAGGTGACCTGTCTTCACTGACCAGCAGCCCTGGAACCCTCTCCAGCCTGTTGCAGCCTCCTGGCTCTCTTCTCTCTGGCCAGTTGGGGTTGCAGCTCCTCCCTGCGGGGGGAGCTCCTCCACCCCTCTCAGAGGCTTCTAGTCCCCTAGCCTGCCTGCTACAGAGTCTCCAGGTGAGCATATGGATGTGTGTGTTTGTTAGGGAAACAGTTTTTTCCCCAGACTCAAAATAGCTTTTGGTGGCTTTCTGAGTTACATTAGCAGAGGAATTGTCATTGAGATGGGGATTTTCTTTTTTTGCCTTCAGCTCCCTCCAGAGCAGTCGGAAGCCCCTTGTATGCCCCCTGAGAGCCCCACCTCAGCCCTTGAACCGGAGCCTGCCCGGCCTCCCCTCAGTGCCTTAGCCCCACCCCATGGTTCTCCTGATCCCCCCGTCCCTGAGCTGCTCACTGGGAGGGGGTCAGGGAAACGGGGCCGGCGGGGAGGAGGGGGACTTAGGGGCATTAATGGTGAGGCCAGGTCAGGCCGGGGCCGAAAGCCTGGGAGTCGGAGGGAGCCTGGCCGGCTGGCCCTCAAGTGGGGAGCACGTGGTGGCTTCAATGGACAAATGGAACGTTCCCCAAGAAGGACCCACCACTGGCAGCATAATGGGGAGCTAACTGAAGGGGGTGCTGAGCCCAAGGATCCACCCCCTCCTGGGCCCTATTCTGAGGAGCTTAAGGTGAGTGCAGTGATTCAGGTGTGGGCTGAAGCGCTCTGAGGAAGGGGTGGGGCCGTGGTGCTGTTTTCTAACTTTCCCACACATACAGTCCATCTTTTCTCAGGTGCCCCCTGGGGTAGTCAGAAAGTCTCGTCGTGGCCGGAGGAGAAAATACAAGTGAGTGTTGGGTCTACCACAACCCTGGCCTTTCCCCGATTCTCATTATTACAGAAATGTCCAAAAGGTGATTTTCAAACAGGGCAAGTACTTATCTGAATATGAATAGGGATAGTATACGTTTACTATTCAGATGTAGAAAGTTTCCCACCCAAACTGTGAAATTCACCTGGTTTTGGGAAGGTGTTCCTGATCATCTGTGCCCCTTGTTGCAGCCCTACCCGAAACAGCAATAGCTCTCGCCAGGACGTTCCCTTGGAACCCAGCCCCACCACTCGAGTACGTGTGTGTGTTAGTATGTGTGTGTGGCATATACAGGGAGGGTGGGTATATAAGGGATGGGGCAGGAGAAAAGGAGGGTTAGAGGGAGTGGGGAGAAGAAAAAGGAGTTCCTGATACCCAGCTGTTTGATCACTTCTTTCAACTTCTCCTCTTGTACAGGCGGCTGTCCCTCTGCCTCCACGGGCGCGCCCTGGCCGTCCTGCCAAAAACAAGAGGAGGAAACTGGCCCCGTAGCAGCCATACCTGGAGCTGGATCTGACCCTGACTGGGGAGAGCTGAGTGCTGAGCCTTGGGAGCGCCTGCCAGCCATGTGCACCTGTGGACAGTGGGTGGGGGCACTACTCCTCACTCAGAGCACAAATGCCACCCCTTCCCCTACAATCCCATCCTGAGCCATTGCAAGGGGTAGGGAAGCTCACCCCTCCCCCCCCAAAGCCATGTCACTGAAAAGGCCTGGGGGGGTGGTATATGGCCCTCTCCCCACCAGGCGCTAAGGGGAACACCCCCTTCCCCAGGTCTTTTATTTAAGTTATTTTTGCACAAATGACTCTTTTATATTTAATTCGACTTCATTGCCTCCCTTTTTGAAGCCAGCAGGCTCAGTTTACAAACCTGTGAGCTACTGTTGGCTGCTGCCCTCCTTCCCAGTGAAAGGTACAAAGCAATAAGCATCATGCATCCTCCCCTCACCCCTCAACTCCCCTCTGTCTCTGGCTCTGGCTCAGGTTGCTCAAAGCACAGATCCCCTCTTACCCCTATCCCCAGGTTTGAAACACATAGCCTCATTTTAAGGTGTAGCCAGGTTCCCCCTACTTTCCTCTGGGATTATAAAAATGGGGTAAGGGGGCAAAGAGAGCCCTCAGGGCTTCTCCGCCCATACACACTACACTGCCCCTTCTCCCCATCGAAACGCTCAGAGACGTTGCGATGATGCAACGTGGTCCGACCGGAGCGGCCAGCGTGACCAGCTGTCCAGGGGCTGCCTTCTGCCTTTTCTTTTGTAAAGACAAGACCCTTGGGAGTTTTAATTCTGTTTTGTACTTGCCCTGTGGGGCCTCCACTGCTTTTCTATGGGAGACACTCTTAATTTAACAGATGAGAATATTTTGAAATTCTGGCTCTGGCTCTGTACTTTTTTTTTTTTTTTTTCCCCTTAGTTCTTTGGTGAGAACAGGTTACAATTTAAACCTTCTCTCGTGGTAGAGTGGCTTAGACCACCTGTTGTGCCTGTGAATGCGTCTATCTCTCAGTGCTGCCTCTTCCCCAGGAAACAGAGCAGAGGCCACACAGAGTACAACAGCATTTAATGGTCAGAAACAGTTGTACAATATTACAATCAGCCACAAAAGCTGTGCTGGAGGGCAGGACCCAACCCTTCCCCACACCAGACAAAGTAGTATTGGACATGAGTTGGCATGGGCTGGGCCCAAGTCCTCATTCTTGGGGCCTGAGGGGAGACCACTATCAAATATCCCCCCGTTACAATTCTGTATTCAGGAGGGGAGGAGTATAAACCCCACATGCAAAAAGAACCCCTTGCCCCCAGTGTGAAATGGGATGGGGATGCGAGAATTATAGTTAACAGGAAACTACTGCAGGGACAGCCCTATGTAAGCTGTTAACATAGTTCAAGGGGTAGGGAATCCCTCTGGTCCCCATCTCCCAAAGGTGCTCACTTTCCCAGCTTCTTCATCCGGTCATCAATACTGGCAAAGTTCCCCTCAACTGTGGCCAGGTTTTCACGCATGGTTGTCTGCACCTAAAAAGTGACAGAGTGGTTTGACTTTGTCAGGTCCTCGTGCTTAGGAATACCTGGATGAAGACCTGAAGAAATTCCCTGAGAGGAAAACAGGAAGAAACACAGCTTATGAGGCCCAGAGCGGGATGTTCATGGCACTAGTTTTCAGACTCTCTTTGGAGCACCATGGAACTAGCTCAGGAAGAAGCAGGGCTCTAAGAATTCCCATCCTGACTTTAACCAGTACAGTTCATCTGTTTTATAAATAGAGGACCAAGTAAGACTTGGTTGAAATGAGGATTTTACTGGTTCAAAATTTTTAGAAAATTGCTCTAGAAGAAGGAAATTCCATTATATCAAGTATTTTACATGTATTTTCATTTATTTTGATGGTCCTGTGATGCTGGTCTCCTGACTTTAAAGCTCCCTCCAACACTGAGAACAGTGCCTCCAACAGAAATTGAGGACTGGCTACATACAGGGCATGGCTAAGGAATGAAGAAGGGGAGGCTCACTGCCCACCCAGGGTCAGGAAGGAAGTGGCAGAACCAGGTTGGAGCCTGGTTCCTGATTTCAAAGCCTTTATTCTTGCCAAGGTAGAGAGGAGCAGCTGGGTGAGGATCCCAGGGAGAGTAAAGTAAAGCTGAGACTACAGAGAAAAAGGGTAGGCTTTATAGGAAAAGCTGGTGCTTACTCAACCCCGTAATTTGGCCATATTATTTTGCCTAATCCACATGACTGTGTGAGACAGGTGTAATTTACAGATGGGAAGAAGGAAGTTCATAGGTTAAGTCATCAAATGTCCCACAACCACTGAGTGACAGTGTAGAGACTCAAACCAAAACCATGCCATACTAGCAGGCTACAAAATGACCTAAAGCAGAACCTTACGAGATAAAGCTGGAGAAGCTAGTCTGTGTGCTGGAGAAGGAGGTGGCAGATCAGTAAAGGCACACACACCTGGGTCAAGAGAGTGGTATTGTCCTTGAGGGAACTAGCAATCATCTGCTGGGTCGTATCCAAGTGTGTCAGAAGCTGACCAAACTGCATGGCTACAAAAGAAAGTAGTAAGAAAGGTATGGTTATAACTAAAATCTGAGACTAAGGAGGGAGGAGAACCAAAGTCGTCCACTTTTCAATTCCTCTTAGCACCCCTGGCAGCTGCCTCCTACCTTGCTCATGCAACTGCTTGATGGTGATGAGTCTCTGCACCAGCTCGGGAAGGGTGGAGGCGACAGGGCTCCAGCGCTGTATGGTTTCATATAGCTGGTGCACCTGGACGGACACGACAGGGCACAGAGGGGATGGCTGAGGTTTTCCATGACGTAGACACTGTTATTTCACTGCAGTGGGGAAGGGGTCACCTGGGCAGAGGGAAGTACTGCCCTTTCTCAGCTGTAACAGCTGATGAAGACAGGGACCTGAGGATTCAGTGTGCTCCCATGCTTTGGTGTTACTACCAACGATGACTTGGACAATATGAGGGAATGGGAAGGGATAGGAGAATGGGGTAAAGGTGTCTTCCTGACCTTACTTTGTGTATCTGCATCCTCTACGGAGGCTTTATGCTTGGCAATCTCATTCACCTTTCCCAGGACACTCTGAAAGTATAGATTTTAAGATTAGGAGTGAGGGCATCCAGGGCTTCCAAAATCCCGAACTACCCACAATCCAGCTTGCCCTCCACTTAATACCTGTAGCCGAGCCTCCACTTGGTCCAAAACTGCAAGGTCCAGGGCGCTCACCTTTGCTTGCAACAGCTCTACAGTCTCCTGGAGGTGAGACAAGCTTCATGAAGGGGGAAGGATCAGACTAGGAAGAGGCCCTCCATATCCTACTACAGTTTATAGCTGTTGTTGTTCTTGGGTGCTGTCAAGTGAATTCCAACTCATACTTTACAGGACCGGAGCATTGCTCCCTAGGGTTTCCAAGGCTGTAATTTTGTGTGTGTGTGTGTGTGCTTTAAGTGAAAGTTTACAATTCAAGTTAATTTCTCAAACAAAATTTATACACGCATTGTTACGTGACCCTAGTTGCTCTCAGCACACTCCTCCTTTCCACCTGATTTCCCGTGTCCATTCAGCCAGCTCCTGACCCTGCCTTCTCATCTCACCTCTACACAGGAGCTGCCCATTTATTCTCATGTACCTACTTGAGCTAAGAACCACACTCTTCACGAGGATCATTTTTATGTCCCACAGTCTAGTCTAATCTTTGTCTGAAGAGTTGGCCCTGGGAATGGGTTTAGTTTTGGGCTAACACGAGTCCAGGGGTCATGCCTTCCGGGGTCCCTCCAGTCTCAGTCAGACCATTAAGTCTGGTCTTTTTACTAGAATTTGAGTTCTGTACCCTACTTTTCTCCTGCTCCGTCAGGGACCCTCTGTTGTGTTCCCTGTCAGAGTGGTCATTGGTGGTAGCCGGGCACCAGCTAGTTCTTCTGGTCGGAGGCTGATGAAGTCTCTGGTTTATGTGGCCCTTTCTGACTCTTGGGCTAATATTTTCTTTGTGTCTTTGGTTGTCTTCATTCTCCTTTACTCCAGGTGGGTTGGGACCAATTGATGGATCTTAGATGGCCACTTGCTAGCTTTTAAGACCCCAGACGCCACTCACCAAAGGGGGATGGGATGAGCAAGGCTGTAATCTTTACAGGAGCAGATCACCAGCTTTTTTTTTCCTATGGAGCTGCTGGTGGGTTCGAACGGCCAACCTTTTAGTTCGCAGATGAGCGCTTAACCACTGTGCCACTAGCAGACCCAAAAGCAATTGTCAAAGCAAACTCAATCCCCGTATCCCCTCATAATCCAAACATTCCAGTTCCTGCCACACTCACCATAAGACAGGCTCCCTGGAGACCTGCTGAAAGGGGATTCTGGTGGGAAAGGGAGGAAAGAAATCAGCGGCCCTTATATCTCCATGTGATGACCACATTCTCCCATCCTTTCTGATTCTAGCTGGCAACCCACCGGCTGACCCCTGTTCACTTCAACCCCTTCTTGACTCAGCCCAGGCTGTGGACCTTGGGCTCAGAGAGCAGGACCTGAGGCTCAGACTAAGTATAGGACAGCGCCTGACCTGAGCATCCTGATCACAGCGCACAGCTGCCTCCAGCTCTGTCAGGCGCTTCTCAAGTTCTGCAACCTAAGGGGAGGAAGGAGGTGAGATTTGTCATCTGCCTCCCTGCTGCTGCCATGGGAGGAATAAGATCCAGTTCTTTGCTGCTTGCCTCCCCCACAAACCCCACCACCAAAGGGGCTCCTTTCCCTGGAACACATTCCTAGCCACAATCTTAAAATCTTAACCGAGAGTAGGTGGGCAAGGAATACAGGGAGAGAACGAGACGTTGTGGAAGAAACAGCATTCCTAGCACCCTCTTCCCAGGTCTGATCCCTCAGAGGGAGTCAAGAGAGTCTTTGGGGCCAAGTACTTACCCCTCACCCTGCCCTAGTACCACATACATACGTACTTTGGCAGCTTGAGAGAACTTGTCCTGCTCAGGCCGAGAATGTAGTTCATAAGTGACAAGGCTGCTATCTGGAAGGGCCCCACTGGAGGTCTTTCCCCCTGAACCAGTGCTTCTGCTGTTCTTTGTTGCTTCCAGCTGCAGCAGCAGGCGCCTAGGTCAGGACACCAAGTAGTAATACCATGACTTGAAGAATGTGGGTGAGCCCAGTCATTCTCTCTCTTTTGCTTCCTAGTCAGCATTAAGGAACAGCTAGGCCTCTTTCCCCTTAGCATCTCCGTCAGTACCTGGCTGAGCCCCTCCCATCCACAACCCAACCAGCAATGATTTCCCAACAAAGGAAGGCACCCACTTAGCCAGAGCCCCATCGGGGTCGGTGAGGTTGATCGCAGCATCTGGTCCCAGCAGCTTCTCCAGGTGGGAAGCAACCAGCTGCTGCTTCAGAGCGGCCAGCTGTTTAGCCAGTACCACAGGGGTCAGCTTCTCCTCAGTGGCTGACTCCTTCACTGTTGTCTGGTATGAAGAGGTGGAGACACAGTAAGGAGTCACGAGAATGAATCAAGGGAGAAAAACGATCAAGACCTTGAATAACAACTGTGGCTGAAAGTCATTGGGATGGTCCCTCGCATAGCAGACTGCCAACCTGTAACACCGAATGTAGAAGCATGTGTCCTCCTATACTCTAGAAACCTCATCCCCTATTCCAGGAGCTTAGGGAATCTTTCTCCTCCTACTGGGAGTTCCAGAGATCAATGACTGTTAAGTCAGCAGAGATAGGAGAAAAGAGTTTATAGTTACCCTGATTTTCTCAACTTCAGTGGTCAGCTCTTGGACCTCATGCAGTAGTCGCTGGTACTTTTGCTGGGGTGTCTCCTTTATTCCCAGGCCCTCTCCAAGCTAAGGAGCAAGCACAGGGGGTGATGTTATACCTTTTACCATACAGAGCCTCAAGAATTTATCCAAACCCTAGCCCTAAGTCTTAGGGTGTCATGGCCAGAATCCACAACACCCTAGGACAGAAGAATTGGAGTAGCCAAAGGCCTAGAGACTCTCCAAAACAACAGGGGGCAGCGTTCTCAACTGCAACCTGCTGGGTTCCGCAGGACCCTTGGCCGGAGACAAACTCAGATTCCCAACTGCATCCCCTGATCTTCCTCCTAAGTGTCGGCTGGATGGAACCCCCACACCATCCCCTCAACACACACACAACAAACCATCTCATAGTCTCCAGATTCATATCCTGTTCTCTTGGTTTTTCCAATACGATCTGAGAAATCTGCCAGAGAAAAGAAAAATAGAACTGAGAGCCTGATCTAAGCCCAGGGAGTCACAGTTTCCGGTCAGTGTGAGGGCTTCCACAAGCCATCTCCACGAGGGAACCTTTCCCCAAAACAAAAGTCACTAACACCTGAGGACAGGAAGCCATTTTTCACGCTTGTCCTTCAGGCTTCTCCCCACCCAACTTCTAGCCCAGTCTCACCAAGTCCCTTTGTCCCCACTCTCTTGTCCTTGAACTTGTCATAGGCAGCATTGGGATTGACAATGATGTGCTCCACACTTGTGCTCGTCAGCTCCTCCTGCAGGAATAGGTGATTCAGACCAAGAGCAGAATTATTGCCACTCTAGAGCCATACCCCACAAAATCCTCAAACCTTAGGAGACTGGGTCCTATTTTCCAAGGGGAAAGAAGGGCAGTTCCATTTCAAGCTGCCAACCCAGGCTCAACCTAGGAAACGGAAGCTTCCTGATAAATTTGGAGTCTCAGTTGTATAAATATTAACACCCTGATTCAACTGGGAACAGAGGCAGCATAACCTCCCCACCCACTCTGTACATAAGTCTCCCCATCCCCCACCCCATCCAACTGGGCCCTCCCAAAGTTATCTGGCACACACCATGCACTCTAGGCAAGAAACCAACCTGACCTCTTTTAACCTCCCCCTCCCAAAAGCAAATCTCCTTGGTGGCTGAGGAAGTCCATTTTAAAGCTAACCTCCCATCCCTGCTAGAGGTAAAGAGGAGAAAAAGCAAACAATCAAGCCAATAATCTGAGGGTGAGTATTAGGACTTTAAACCTACTAAACGGAGGACACCAACTCTCAGATATAGAAAGAAGGCTGGCAAAGGGCCTGACCAACAGCCCAGTAATTAGGCCATTGTGAAGCCAGAGAATTCAGGGGATAGGGAGGAGAGGCAGGGCTTATTGGATTATTATTTTTATTTTGGATTATTTTTAAACGGACATCTTAAAAGAAGCAAAGGCAATATCTACTTGCCAAGAGCACCTTAGGCAGGGGCTACTTGTGAGCCTTGAGATGGAGAAAGCCCAGCATCTTTTCAAAGAGAAGCTGCAGTACCTGCCTCTTCTCCCTGACCCTCTGCTGTGCATCCAGCACTGAAGCATTTCCAAAGACAGGGACACATGATAGAGGAAAGTGAAAAAGAGACTTCACTCTAGAGGTTGAAGCAGAGAGATTCCCTTCTTACTAGATATTTACTTCCTGTCCACAGATTCCAATAAGTACACCAAGACTGGGCACTCCAGACTGCATGTCCTTCCTTCAATTGTCAGAAGCATGACGGCTCTCATTACAGTACTGAAGGTAAGGAGAGGGAGACCCAAGAGGCCTTTTCTATTGGGAATGACATCTCTACCTTCTACAGTTGTTGCTAGTTGCTGCTAACAGAACTGCTCCATAGTAGAAAGGCAAAATGCGTCTTCTTCCCTTCTACTAGGTGCAATGGCTGCACATCAGAATCACTTGGAAAATGTAAACAAAAAGGAAGGAAGGAGAAAAGGAGGACAGAAGAAAGGCCTAGGCTCTCCTCTGCAGATTCTGACTTTACTGTTCTGGGATACAGCCAGGGCACTAGGCTGGCTTAAAGAGTACCCAGGTGATTCTAACATGCAGCCAGGCCTGAGAACCTCTGCCGGGGTGGGGGGTGGGGGGTGTTGGGTGGCGGTAGACAGCCATCAAGGAAAAAGAGCAGCAGATAGAAGGAAGCCCCATCCTTCACCTTTGCTCTGCTACTAGTTAGAGAGGGAATCAGTGTGAGTGCCAGCTTTAAAAATAAGCGGGGAGAGGGAGTGAGGAAAAAATATTAACTTGATCTTTGGCTCTTCAGGAAGTGCTGGGCAGAGGGGCAAGAGCTAAAGACCGAGGGATAATAAAAGGGCTCAATGTCCCACATGCAAGTGCCAGCTGGCAATTGAGTACCAAATTATTATCTTTAACCTTCTCTGAGCATCCACCAGCCCAATAACTGTGGTCTTTGGCCTCTACTCTGTGTTCATCTGAGGACTCATGCTCAGGATAGACAACCATCTTCCCTTAAGCTCACACTCAAGAATATGCTACTCCTCCCTGTGAGAACCAATCACATTGGCCAATTAATACCAATGAAGCAGAAGTCCATTTAAATAAACAAAAACAAAACCTTCCTAAAAAAAGACAAATGGGAGGAATAACCTACAGACCAAAAATAAAGAAACAAATCACAGCTACCATTTGTTAAGCCCGTACTATGGGCCAGGCACTGTCCAGATGAGAACATACTTTTTCACTTTCCTAAATAGGGAATCAAAAACCAAACCAAACCTATTGCCATCAAGTCGATTCTGACTCATGGAGACCCCATATGTTACAGAGTAGAACTGAGCTCTACAGAGTTTTCTTGGCTGTAATCTTTACAGAAGCAGATCACCAGGCCTTTCTTTCACGGTGCCGCTGGGTGAATACAACTACCAACCTTCTGGTTAGTAGTTCAGGGACCTTAAATAGAGAAGGGACCTTAAGGGTGGAGTAAAAACAGGCAAACAAGGTGAATTTCAGAGGTTCTGGGCAGTAACAGAAATGGGCAGCACTTTCTTCCAACTATTCCCTGCTGCAGGAGCACGTCCTGGGTCAGGAGGGCTGCCTGACGCTGGCATCCTCTTGGAGCCTCTCCCAGGGTATGGCCCCAGAAGACTCAGGCGGGCAGCACGCGCTAGTCCTCCAGTGGCACCTATTCTGCCAGTGTCTAGATCTGGTGCATGGGTTGGGACAGTGTCATTATAGTGATTTGTAAGATGGAAAACAGGGATGAAAGATTTAGTAGAGACAAAAGGACAGAGAAATCACTGCCCATTACAGCACACCCCGTTAAAAAAGCAGATGAAAGGTCAAGCTTCTTACCAGCTCCTTGCGGTTTCCCCAGAGGTGAGAAAATCAAGAGTTAAAAGGAAAGGGAGTGGGGGACGGGGTGAGGGAGGGGGAAAAAAAAGACAAAATTGTTATTAGCAAATTGTCACATGCACTACACGACAGTCTTCAAACACGCCACACCACAGGGCCCCTGGGGAGCCTAGCAACATTTTGGGACCAAGAAATTTCCACTGGGGTCACCACATACCCCGAGAGAAAGGAGAGCGTGAGACCCTTTCCTTTCTGGTGGTGAGGATGTCATGAAGCTTTGCTGTTAGTGACAGCAATTTAGGATCATCTGAGAACTAGCAGTTAGATTTACAAGCTAATGGCATGAATAAGAAAGTGCAGGAAGAGAAGGCTGAGGTGGAGGGGAAGCTGCAGAGGTGGAGGGGAAGCTGTAGAGATGACAGAATATGAAGCAGAGGTTATGGAGATTCTGAGGACCTGTAGCTGATTGAGGGTCCATGATTCTCACAGGAGGAGCTCCCCTTACTTGGTCTTGGCCCAAGTCTTCCTGTCTCCCTTTCTCCAGTTTTAAGAGAATTAGACATTTGGATGGCAGAATCAGTCACAATGAGGGTAGGAAGATGCACATGCTCATGTGGGTGGTCTGATTTGCCTTCAGGTTAGGCAGAACAGAATATGTCAGCCACCGACGGAGAGTTTAAGGAAACTGGAAGGACCTAATTCCAGCCCCATTCTTATTTTCTGCTGCCAGAGGAGAGGCAAATCCTGGTCCTTCATGCAGCCTGGCCTATTGGTATCCATCTTGAGTGGTTGGCAACTCACCCCGCAGCTCTGAGGGATCCAGAACAATTCTGCCATGATGTGCTAGTACAAAGAGTCTGAGGACACCAAGATTCACAGCTACTAGCCCATGTGCAGAACATGTTTCTTCAACCCTCAGTTCACAAGATTCACACGGGCTGGAGGGTGGACAAGGGGGAAGGGTGAGAGTATTCCGAAGAGGCCTTATTTTAGTTCAGGCCATGTAGATAAGGCTCCCATTTCCAGGCAAGGCTGCTAAAGAACTGCCAGGAAGGGGAATCGAATTGTATACCCTGCCTCTCTAGAAGCTGTCTTGATGGGCAGATGAAAGTATAAGAGGGTTAAGGATGCTTGTGTGCGTAAGACAATCCATGGTGGGAGAAAAACAATGCTACTTCCTGTCCCAGAGAGTTCAGCCACAGATACACCTGAACCTCAACCTCTCCATTCCCTGTTTCATATCAGGGTCCAGCCCAGCCAAGACTCCTTCTTTAGTCCAGGTCCTGTACTCTAGGCTGGGATGTGTCTGCACAGAGTGGGTGGCTGGGTCTAAGCACTCATAGGTGTATATATGTAAACACATAAGGGGAGACACATACTTTGTACCTTTCTCTTACCTGCCCCACTAAGCTAAAGCCAGTTGGGAGAAACTCAAGAAGAAAAGGACAATGGGCCATGAGTTCAAGTTCAAATCATATGGAACAAGCAAAATGGGAAGGCAGAAAATCAAAGACAAGAAAAAGTGGCATATTAGTTTGTAAACAGTATATACCACCTCCAGGTCTGTGAGAGTATTTTATGCATAATTTCTGCAACCTGGAGTAGTAACAGTTACCATGGAAACCTACAGTCACCTTGATTGGAAAATCCCAGGTGCCTTGATCACAAGTACCAGCTTACCCGGTACATCACTCCCAGTCCCTCTCGCTAATGGACTCCCAGACTCCCCAGGGCTGTTTGGCTAAGTGGCGATGCCTCAACGGGCAAAACCCGAGGTTCAAAATCAGAGAGAGAAGGCCACTGCTGCTCTCTGAGCCTGTTCCAGCTCTGCGCCGAAGCTGCAGCCAGGGGGGCTTCAGAACCACGATGACAAGGAAGATGGATAATGCTGTAGAATAAAACTGTCCAGGATGGAGCCATGTAATGCTGACCATCCATTATTTCTCAGGGAGGGGTTCAGAAGCAGAGAAACTGCAAAGTACAAATAACGCAAATTATTTTTATCTTAAAATTGCATACAACACTTGCCCCCTCCCCCGTTTCTCTAAAGGTTTAGCATAGGCGGATATCGAAACGATTTTTTTTTTCCTATGGATAATCCACACACAGCTAAGAAGTGATGACTGTGGTTGTCCTCCACCCTAGAATGACTAAAAGTCAGTCCTTTTCTCTTAATTCCATTCCAGCCTGAGGAGGAGAAAGGCAACCCCCTTCTAACTCCTGCCCCTAAATGCCTCGTGTCCAAAAGCATTCATAGCCTCCATGTTTCCACCCCATCCTTCATTGGACAGTTTTATTTTGCAGATCTCACATGGGGAGGAGACAATGATTCATGGATCAGAGTTGTACTTCTACACTTGATTAATGATCTTTAAACATGAGGCCAGCAGGCCCCACAGTGACCCAGCTAGGGAATCACTGGAATTTAAAACTATTAACCATAACAAGAGCACAGTGACAGAGCATTGCATGCAAGATGGCAGATGAAAAAATAACATGCAGAGAAGAAGCATCGAATGGTCTTACTTGTGCAAACTAGTGTCCAGGCAAGGTGGTGAGGAGGGAGGATGGGGGAAGCATCAGGAAAAACTCAGGTAAGTTCAAGTGCGCCAACAGTCAATGAACACAATCAAGCATACTCTATGATACCCCACTCTAAGGAAGACAATTTACTGTTTCTCATCTTTAGCTGCTGGTGTCTAGCACTACCAACTATTTGGAGAATGGAAGCCTCTGCTGGTGCCCCACCAAGCTTTGGCTAGGTCATTTTCCCCTTGCACATGGCACTGGGGGGCAGTTATGCCATAAGGGAAGAAACTAAATCCTGTTTTGAGTGAGGTTTTTAAAATTTATTCCCCTTGCTCCAGCAGTTCAAAAGCCATGAGCCGAATGCTACACAGACCCAAGGTAGGCTGTGGGCCCAGGAGAGAGGGAATCCCATTTGGGAATTTGCTTTCCTGACCAGGCATTTTAAGAAAAGTCTCCAAACAAGCCCATCATCCCAATTAATTCAAGAGTGTCTAAAATGAGAGAGGAAATCCTCCCAGATCGAGGAAGAAAGGGCTGGCCTGCTCAGTTTTTTGCTCTATTCCTGTTTTGGAATATTTTACTTCCATTAAAATTGTTTTAAAGGAATAGAAGGAAAATCAGGATCATCTGTACCAAAATTAAAATTGTCTACCATTTTTTCCCTTCTTATACCCCACTGTGGGAACTGAAAAACTATGCATAAGTTAAAGTAGCAATGAAAGTCTTTAAGGATACTGGAGAACATTATGTCCTTCAGGAACCCAATTTCTTCCAAAATGGAAAAATTAGAGAAAGGAGGTTAAATGACAGTGAGGATCAATGCTACCTATTCCTTTAAATAAAAATCTGGACACCTTCCCAAAGACTCCACAAGGACCTGGTCATATTTGATGTCTCCAAGAAAGGGAACTAAGCAGTGGTGGCCAGGGATGGGAGAGCCTTTTCACTATACAGACTTGAATCTTTTTTTCTATGTGTATACATTACCTATTTTAAAAAGTATATATATTTTTTAAATTAAAGTTGAAAATAATCTGGAGGCTAAGCAGAGAATGCTGTTGCCAGAGGCCAACAAGGTAACTGAAAACCTCTGATTCAGCCACAAAAATGGTTATGTGCACTTGTCATCTGTTCTGGGTCCTGGGAAGGTAGAGAAGGGGATAGGCTGCTGGTGAGAATCCAGCCCTCATGGACATGAGGTCTTTGGACTGTCTAAGGACAATCCACTGCTCCTCGAGCTGCGCATGTACATCAGTATTAAGAGCAGCAGTAGAGCCATTACTCAGCTGATTTCCCAAAAGCTGCCCTCCTAACGCCCATAGGGACACACAGGGGCCAGAGATATTAGCTGACACCAGGAAACATCTTAGGCCTGAGGGCTCCTAGAGCAGCTGAAGGTTGCCCACCCTACTTACTCCTCCCTGGTGATGGAGAGCCACTTAGCTGAGCCTTAGGTGATGGAGGCAACTCGATTCCTCCTGTATTCATCATCCAGCTCCTAAGCACTGCTATACCAGCATCCTGAGCAACATGCCACAAGAAATGAAGACTCATGGTATCCTCTCTCCCCATAAGCCACCCCATTAGACATTAGACACTACTAAAATAGGCTGCTCAGGCTCAGTGCGGACCAACAGCCAACCAGAGCTGCACATTTAGGTTCTTTCACGCCTGGAATGGTTGTCATCTTCTTTTGATTAAGAAATCTCTCAGATGCTTCAAAAGGAAAATTATACTTTTTTTTGGTCTGAAAAGGGGACTGCTTTGATACTACCCTTTTGTCTCAGTCATGAACAAAGTTACAAAGTTCCATTCATTATCTTACCATGAAGGCTTGATAATTTTTAGGCAGAGGCCTAGGCCAGAACTGAGCAGTCTCTGAACTGTGGCAGTACAATGAAGTCCTCAGCATACACATCCCTACCCTGTGAGGCCAGAGGCAGCCTCCTAATAAGATACCTCTTGGAATGACAGGTGCATACTCAGGTCCTTGGACAACAACATTATTCTGCATTGATCTCCAGACACTCAAGCTTGGGGGACAGCCTGACATGCCAGCAGATACAGAAGCCACAAGGACACACCACTGAGAGGGGACAGGGAAGGTGTTCCCCACAAAGTAGGAACCACTTCCACATGGGGGAATCAAATAAGGAATAAGTGAGTACGCCAAGCCATACATTATAAGCCAGCAACCAGCATTCCCCAGGACTAACCAGCCCACAGACATAGCCATAGCCACAGGACTCACAGACACGCGTATTAAGCCTGTTCCCTCTGACTCTTGGTCACACCTTCACTCAGATCTCACACCATCAACGTGACTTCAGCTCAGCTCTCTTTGGAAATAATAGAACCTAAAACACATCCTGTAAGATATGCTAATGGATCTTTGTCCCCCTTGGCACTTACATACAGAGTTTCTACTACGTTGATTTTCATTCACTCAATTTTTTCTCTTCCAAATGTTTCCTATACGTATCCTAACTCCGCTATTAGTCTGGGGGCTAGTCTGCAGGAACATTTCTTCCTTCCTCTGCAGTGCACTTAAATCAACACAAAACGAACACATCCAATAAACAATGCTAAGGGGTCCCCCTCCTGGTTCAAATATGTCCACAGCTAGCTAATTCCTTCCTCCTCAGTCTAGATTTCTTCTTGGATCTGAAAGTGCTACAAGCATCTCTCTTCTGCTGATGTGAAAGATTTATGTTCTCCCTCAAACTTATTTTGCTCTTACCAGGCCCCTTATCGCTCTAAAATCTCCACATCATTTTCTTACTTTTTGCCCAATGGATACTGAATATTCCTATAAAATATCCCTCTATACTTCAAAGCCTAAATCTTGGTAGGGTACTAATGAATATATAGAGAGCGAAATACTTTATGAAATAAAAGGCCTAGTCCTAACCTCAAGTTATTTATAAGTATTATAAGTGCTCAGGCTTCATGATTTATTACCATGAACTAGAACCCATGAACCTAAGTCTCTAGCCCCAAACCTAACTGTTTTGAGATACTGTGACTTGATTAAAAAGGCCCAAGGATCAGAGTTTTGCAAATAGATTTTCTTGGTTATATTTCCACTGACTTCTTTCTCCTGTCATTGTTCATTGATGGCTGTAGGCCCAGTGAGACCTTTGCAAGCCCTGCAACCTACATACCACCTAGGCTGGGGTTGGCATACCCACTTATTACTGTGGCTCGCCAAAGAAGGGAAAGGGCCTGCCTGGGGAAGATATGTCAGAGTCCAGAGGAGTCCTGAGGCAGCACACAGTCTTACCGCATCAAACTCCGCTTGATCATCCTCAGGTAGGTCGCTGGTTTCATAAACATCTGGCTCGTTCCTGGCCTGCAGGCAGAAGCAGTGATCACCAGACCTCACCACCTAGCATACCCGCCAACACCCCTTCCTCCATTCCACTTGAACAAACAGAAGGCAGGCTGTGACGCCAGGATCCTGTCCTTTCTCTTCTACCTGTCAGTTCCCCATGAACAGCATGTCAGTTCCCCATGACTCTGGGGTGGGGATGACAGTGGGGACAACCGGGATCTGATGGTAAATGGTATGTAATGAAGACAAAGATGTTACTCTGAATCTGGAAGTGCGGGGCATGTCCTTGGCAATCATGTCGGAAGCAGGTGAAGGCTATCCTTGAATTAGGCCCGGTACACCACTACCCTGGCACAACGCTATCCTCCAATTAGGCCAGGGACACCACTACCCTGGCACAAGGGCTCAGGGTGAGTCAGGACCAAGACCCTGTGACCCAACCCCCACCCTGAGGATGTAGGCAGTGCCGCACAAGTAGGGTACACGGAGCAAGTGCATGGTGGGAGGAAGGGGCAGATTCCCTGAGGGCAGAGGTCCACCTCTGACACAAGAAAAGTTCTGCCATCCTGATCTCTTCCTTGGCAGGGTGAAGGCCATCACCACGTAGCCTGGTGGGTGTGTTCTGGGGTGGGGTGAGAGGTGGGGGGTTTATGGGGAGATTTGGGGGGGCATGGGAGGTGTTGACACTGGTGGAAACATTAGGGCAGAAGTGGTAACGACCGCAGATGATTTCGGGGCCGGGGAACCGGCGCCTGCCGGAAAGGAGGCCTGGCGCGCCGTCCGACGGCACAGCCCAGTCGGGTTGAAGAAGTCCGGAAGGTGCTGCGGCCGGTCTGGCAGCGAGGGGAGCGCGCCCTTGGGGCGGAGGAGGGGCTTCAGGCGGGAGGGGTTGCGGGATGGTGTCTGCCGGGGGTCCTAGGGAGGTCGGGGGCGCGGTCCTGGGAAGCCGGGGCCGGCCCTGTACTCACAATGCCGGGAAGGTCGGCGTATTTAGGGTCCGCCATGGCGGCGGCGAGGTGGGGTTGGGTGACCAGTGCCTCAGTAGAGCCGAGGCCGGTGTTCGGACAAGGGACAGGCTGAGTCCGAGTCCCGGGATAAGGCGTCGGCAAAGAGAGCGGCGGCGGAGGCGAACGAGCGAAAAGTCTCGCGACAGGAGTAGCACAGCAGAAGAGTAAAGCAAAAGTCGCGAGAATAGCCCGATGCCACACCCCTGGCGAAGCAGGGATTGGCGAGAACGAGGCCAGGGAATGAGGTAATGGCAGGGATGGAGGGGGAAAAGCCGCCTGGGATTGTGGGATGTGTAGTCTTGGCAGGCTGGGGCTTGGGAGGGGTGGGACAATAACGCGCCTTGAGGAGCTATTTCACGTTACTTATTTTTTTACACCAAGTCTGTGAAAGAGGTTTTATATTTCCTGTTTTTCAGATGAATAAATTGGGACTCCCGGAAATTAAGTGACTAGATAAAAATCACACAACTAGTCCTGTTGTGGCACAGCCAGGACTTTAAAAACAATAACAAATAAAATTTAGTAAACGCTTGGTGTGTATTAGAAGCCCTGGTGATTCAGTGGTTAAGAGCTATGGCTGCTAACCAAAATGTTAGCAGTTGAAATCCACCAGCCGCTCCTCGGAAACCCTATGGGGCAGTTCTACTCTGTCCTACAGAGTTTCTATGACTTGGAGGCAACTCGATGGCAACGGGTTTTTTTTTTAGTGCGTATCAGGTATGGAAACGTTCGTCTTCTCAAGTTAGGGCAGTCAGATGAAATACAGGACGCCTAGTTACATTTGAATTTCAGAAAAACAACTAATAGTTTTTAGTATAAGTAGTTCCCATACCATATTTGGGACATACATAAAAAAATTATTAGTTATCTGAAATTCAGATTTAACTGGGGGGTCCTGTTTTTTGTTTTTTTAAATATGGCAACCCTATTTCAAAGTTATATAATAGGAAAGTGGTGGCTCCATATCTGTCTGACCACCCTCTGTGCTCTTAACCACTTCACTAATAGTTTCCAGACTTTTTGAATTTCACAGTTCAATACAATTAGAACAACAACAACAGCAAACATTTTTGAGGATAAACATTGAATTGCTACTTTTTATTTTTCCAAGTGAATACATTAAAAAAAGAAAACGTGACCATTTTTAGGGCAACCCAAAACCAATCCCATTTCATGGGATGGTTGTTAACCACAAATACCTTGGTGCCTATTACTAAAGGATGCCTGGGAAACCCAGTCCTGTGTGCCCCCAAAGGATATTGGTTTGCATGCTTAGACCAAGCCAACAGGACTTGGGGATTAGGGTGCCTTGATTTAACCTTGGTCAACACCAGTTGTTTCATTGGGCTTGTAATCCCCAATAACAACACAGCCTCAGTCTTCCAGGGGAGCACTAACCCAGCTTCCCAGGGAGCCCTCAGCCGAAAGAAAAGAGAACCCATTACCCTCATAGCTTTAGGGCTCATGGCCTCGATGGGAGCGCTTGCTGGATTAACGGTGGGTATGGTTTACAGCAATGCTCAAGTCCCAAATCTATCCAGTGTTGTCCAAGTAGTCAGTACCGATTCAGGACAGTCTATTAGCCTTACAGAGATCCCTGGACTCGTTGGCCAGTGTAGTTATGGGCCACTGAATCTCACTGGACTACCTCCTGGCTGAACAAGGAGGTACCTGCGCAGTTGCAGACACTTCCTGCTGCATGTACATTAATGTTTCTGGGGAAGCAGCCTTCTGGGGAAGGCTCAGAGGATCCTTAAACAAGCTGAGTGGCTAAGGACGGCCCATACACAAATAGGTAACAATATTTCGAGTCAAATCAAAGGACATTTACCTACCATAACCTGGTTCCTTCCCCTTTTAGGCCCCGCAATAACTATCCTTCTACCAGTTTTATTTGGTCCCTGCTTGCTCAAAGCTCTGGTTAAGTTTATGTCCTCTCGACTCCAGCAGTTCCAAGTCAAATTAATGATGATGCAAGGGTTCCAGCCGATTCCCGGGTCTGAGTCCAACAGCCCCAACGAAACTTTAGACCAGACAGGGAGAGATTTCTGCTCTGCTAGGCAGGCCAACAACCCAGCATCGGCTTAAAGAAGTTACAGCAGAAGAGAACTCCGCCCCTACACCCTCATAAAGAATTATGAGTATGAAATCTCTCAGGGGGCAATGAGATAGGGAGGGGAAAAAGGGACTGAGCCCCTAGGCAAAGCACCCTGAACTAAAAACATGTGCTTAACACAAAACCCATTACCTTGGAACATCCAATAAAGAAAGAACAACCCACCCAGCTCTCAATGTACTTCCTTGAAAAGATGCTTTTCAGAAGAACCGGCCTGATCTTGTCCCTGGAGCATGCACAGACATCTGCAAGGTGACAGACAGACCCGCGACAGGAATGGAGCCGGCACCAACGGGGAACTGCGCAGGCACGGCACACCATAATAAGTCCTGCCATCCAGTCCCAGGAGCCTTTGTTACGGGTTCCATCTTGAATTACTTCTTGCGCGCGCACCTAATCTTCATAACCCCGCCTGTTTCATGAATAAAGATGACGCCTGTCCCGCCTAAAAACCTTTATAAGCCCCAGTCAATCCTTTATTAGGGGAGACAAAGGCGAGCGTTGTATTGTCCCTCTTTGTCTCCCCTCGCGAGCTACTTCTGCTTAATAAAACTTTGTTCGTGCAGAAAAAAAAAGAAAACCTACCGTCTACTATCACCATCTTTACTTAGTAGAAAAATAGGAAGTCTCAGAATAAAAGACAGTTCTGCATTTTATTGTTGTAGTTTAAGTGAAAGTTTACATTTCAAGTTACTTTCTCATACAAAAATTTATGCACACATTGTTATGTGACCCTAATTGCTCTCCCTGTACTGTGACAGCACATTCATCCTTTCCACCCCCTTATTTCCCATGTTCATTCAACCAGCTCCTAACCCTCTCTGCCTTCTCATCTCACCTCTGGGCAGAAGTTGCCCATTTAGTCTCATGTATCTACTTGAACTAAGAAGCACACTCTTCGTGAGTATCATTTTATGTTCCACAGTCTGGTCCAATCTTTGTCTGAAGAGATGGCCTCTGGAATTATTTTAGTTGTGGGTTGACAGAGAGTCCGGGGGCCTTGCTTTCTGGCGTTCCTCCAGTCTTAGTCAGACCATTAAGTCTGGTCTTTTTAGTAGAATTTGAGTTCTGCACTCCACCTTTCTCCTGCTCTATCAGGGACTCTCTGTTGTGTTCCCTGTCAGGGCGGTCATTGGTGGTAGCCGGGCACCATCTAGTTCTTCTGGTCTCGGGCTGATGAAGTCTCTGGTCTGTGTGGCGCTTTCTGTCTCTTGGCCTAATACTTTCCTTGTGTCTTTGGTGTTCTTCATTCTCCTTTACTCCAGGTGGTTGGGACCAGTTGATGCATCTTAGATGGCCACTCGCTAGCTTTTAAGACCCCAGACGCCACTCACCAAAGTAGGATGCAGAACACTTTCTTAATAAGCTTTGTTATGCCCATTGAGCTAGATGTCCCCTGACAGCATGGTCCCCAGACCCCTGCCCCTGCTTCTTTGTCTCTTGAAGTGTTTGATTGTATTCAGGAAACTTCTTAGCTTTGGTTTAGTCCAGTTGTGCTGATTTCCCCTGTAGTGTGTGCTGTCCTTCCCTTCACCTAAGATAATTCTTGTCTACTATCTAGTTAGTGAATAACCCTCACCCTCCCTCCCCACCCTCGTAACCATCAAAGAATGTTTTCTTCTATGTTTAAACCTTTACTTGAGTTCTTATAATAGTGGTTTTATACAATATTCGTCCTTCTGTGACTGACTAAATTCACTCAGCATAATGCCCTCCAGATTCCTCCATGTTATGTTTCACGGCTTCATAGTTGTTCTTTATCATTGCGTACTATTCCATTGTGCACCATAATTTGTTTATCTATTCGAAAAGAC